ACAAAGCTAGGGTTCAATGTCTCTGAGCTTAACAGAGAAGGGCAAGCAAAAAAAAGAGAACCTCATAAGTCCTCTCCCTATAACTTCTAGAATTAGTTGCATCAGGATGAGAGGCTCCCTTTTTGGAGATAAGGTGTCTGGTTGGCATGCTACAAACATAGTAACCAGTAAGAGGTTGTACTCCTTGCATTGAAATACCAGGCATTATGCATGTTAGAGTATACTTATACTGAAAGTGAAGTAAAAGAAAGAGAAGTTGCATAAGTCCTCTCCTTATACCATTCTAAAGTAGATAAGAACAGTAAGAGCAACTAGAGGAGTAAGAGAACTCCTAAGGTAGACTGGCTTAGGCACCTAAAGAAGCAGATAGGTGGCCTAAAGAATTGAATGAGGCCCAAAAGAATCATATTAGCCAATAGAACAGTCTTGGGGAATGATCAGTCAAGTTACCAAGTAGAGGTGACTTATTTTCTTATTCAACCCTATAGTCAGAGTCTCCTAAAGATCTTAATATGGCTCAGATAGATGATAGTATTTCAGGGTCACCATGGATCTTGAAGAGGCTTACGGTAGAGCACAGTATCTCCCGAGGTCGCAGTGGATCGAGCCTAAGGGAAAGTGGCTGAACCATAAGAGTAAGAGTATAATACCTCTTTAGAAGATGAAAACCAGGCATGAGTTTAAGATACAGAAACCTCCTTAGTGGTAAACCAGCACAGAGAGAGTACCCATGACTTTCTTCCAAATAACCTTATCATTGATTAGGCTAAGCTTAATTTTCTTCTGATTAAAAGAGGAAAGCCATGGTTAGAAAATTAGAGCTGTAAGACCTAAACAAGAGGTATTTAGGCTAGCTCTAGATATGGAAAGAACCCCTTGTGATAAGTGATAGACTGAATATTGATGGGCAGATCCCTAAGAAGAGGCTAGAATCAGGAATATAAGCTGAAAAGACTCGACTAAATGTAGAACAAGAAGGGTTTAAGACAGCAAAGTACCAAGGTTCAAGCCTATCAGCATCAATGCTTCATATTCCCATCAGCACTATTCACTTAAGCATGCTCTGAAACACCCTACCTTTAACCCCTCAAAGCACGCATTTGTAAGCATTATGGTTCAAGTAGATCACAACACAAGCCCGTGGATTTAAAATTTTAACATAATTACTTAGGTTACTATTCACTGTTTAGTTCTAGATTATAGGCCCAACTTCAAAAGTTCATAACTAATTTCATAAAAATTGTATTAAGGTGTTTTAAAATTCTAATAAAATTTATTTCAATGCTATTTAGTGGAAAAATATCAAACTGGACTTATCCTTGACCAATTCGTATAGTTTATTTAGTGATGATTACTGTTCATTTGAAAAATCTGAAACTTCCAAATTCTATGCCTTAACTTTGGAAATTCGTATCTCATTGTATACATGTCCAATTGAGGTGATCTACCTCTCATTTTAAATCTTGGGATGTTTACTATCAGTCTACCAAATCTCATAGCTTAACTCATTCGTTGATAGGTTAAATTGGAGCTACAAACTCACGGCTCGAGGACCTACGTTTTATCTCTTAACATCTCTTTACTTTAATTCTTTTTAGTTCTTTAGCATACATAACATGGGCTTACTCTTTCCCATTCATGCTCATAAACTCTCATTCATTCCAAAAACATGATGATTAATTACATGGCATTATAGGCATCCATAACATAAATTACATAATAGAAGAATTACACATCGAATAATACTATCATTCATTAACATCAATAATTCTCCACTTTCTTCTCCTTGCTTCTCATGCCATTATTGCCCATCATTGATTGACCTAAATAGTTGGTTAGGAAGGGGTGAGATTTAGGGAAATCTCAGTAGTAAACAATATCATATTAATCATGCCAGAGGGATACTAATGCACTACACGCAACTTGTTTATTCTCTTGTTAATTAGTGACATATTAGCATGCTCAAAGCTAACTTCTTGATGCATGGCCATGGAGACATAATCTACTCATCATGAATTGCAATTATAGCAGCTAAACATGCCACATTAACATTCAAATAACATGTACACAGCAACACACAAGCATACAACATCAAGCAATGACAATAGGTAAGTTCACTACCTTACACCTCAAGCTTTCCTCTTACTTTTCCTTTGACTCCCTTGACTTTCCAACCATATGGGCATTCAGTGAACATCACCAAACATCCTCTTGGATATTTCAAGGTCCAAAGCATAGTCACATTGATCATATAATCTATTAGGACCAAGAGATTAAATAAAGTTCAAGACTAATCTTCTTGAACTTACCCTTTTCTCTTAATTTTTGGATTAATGTTCTAGGTTTGTAAAAATTGTTCTCTTAGGCTAACCCTATACAAATTTGCCCAAGGAATCCAAATATGCACTTAGATTTATGAAAATTCAACTCCTTTCCCAAAAATCAGTCTGGCTGAATAGTACCCTTAGAATTCCTAAAATTCCACTTTTGATTTTAATGCTTCCAACTTCACTTTCTCAACTTGTTTCCACATAATTTTCCATTCTAAATCCATTGGAAGCCTTAAATTCATCCTAAGGTAAAGATTTAGACTTGGCCGAATAGATTCTCAAGCATCCATATCATGAAATCTTTCAAATGTTAACACAATTCCACTTGAAACAACCTCTAATCATTGTGTTTTAACTGGATATAACATCAAAACTTCCTTCCCCTAATGCTATAAATTTTGGCTAGCATCATGTCTTAAGGGAAACCAAACTTTTCAACCATAAAAACCAAAGATTCAAAGCAAGAAACAAGAGGGGACAACTTACTAACCTTAGATCTAAACTTGGTTGATCAAAGTAGGTGTCTTCTTCTTAATTTAAGCTTCAAGAATCAAAATGGCAAGAGTTTCTACTCTTATTCTTCATCTTGGCTGAAATAAAGGGGGAGGGAATGCCTATTTATAGCCAAAAATGTGGCTTGAATGGACTAGAATGCCCTTGATAGCTAATAGAAAGAGTAAGGGCAATTTTGGAACTTTAAGTTGACTTTTACATCATCATTGCATTATCTTCTTGCATCATCCTTACTTCATTCTTCTAGAAGGTGCCAAGTGTCACAAATATGGTAGAGGAGAAGGGAGATTAAATCCTAGCCATTAGATCAAAACTTAATCTTTAAGTTTTCTCCTAATTTACTTGGCCCATGTTTCTCTGACTTTCTTAATGGCCTTCCAGAGCTCAGACAATTCTTTTGTCTACTCCATAAATTTTCTTTAATTTTAGAGAATATCTATAAGTTTTCTCATGCCATAACACTCCCTTTAAGCCTCGCATAAAATTCATTTGCTAAAATGCCCTTTTATCAGCATAACCAGCTTTATATTTATTAAAGCCATTCCACTAGCCTTTTGGTTGCGAGACCAATTTTATAAATTAGTACAACCTTTCAACCATTTAACCTTATTTTTATATATATTTTTGAGGTCTCTTGCTATTTCAAATAATTACGTCAAACAGTATACTTTTTACCGGTCATAACCTCATAAATTCCATTTAAGCTACCTCAGGGGTATTTTTGTCTTTTCTCTTCACAAAAGAGCCTTAGAATATTATTTCCCATTTTTGGGATTGTCTTGGAATTCTCTGTACACTCTTCCATTTTGATCCCTGTTGGTCATAACTTTCTAAATTTACGGTTTTAACCCTGCTTAAGCCTAACCTCATAAAACCATCTCTTCGAGGCTTCTAACCTAATCTTTGGCCTGTATCTAGCCTCTTTTCTCTCTCTAGGCCTTCGAGACTTTACTGGAGCCTCTAACTTTGATTACACTTTAGCCCCTTAAAACTTTCACTTTGCAGTCTAGTCCCTGAAATTGCTTTGACTTCCTTTCTCATCTTTGGGACTTCTGCTCAAAAAGGGTCTGGTAGCCTATCCAATTCAGGCTATTTCTATTACTTCTAAATCCAAAAGTTGGGATGTTACATGTTCAGGCAAGAGTAGCCCAAGGAAGGGTAACCCTGGGAAGTAATGTAAGAGAATGCGAAGGCCATAAATGCTTGCTATTTTGGCAAGAATACACTAAGTTTAGCAAGATGGAAGATAAAGTTAAGGTAAGCAAAGATAGTCTAAAGTTGACAAAAGGATTGAGTAAGGTCTATAAAGACAATATCAAAAGCACCTTACCGAATAGCTCCAAATGAGATGGCGGAGTTAAGGAAACAGAAAGGAGATTCGTTAGACCTAGCGTATCTCCCTTAGGTGCTTCAGTACTCTTTATTAAGAAGAAGGATGGTAGTCTAAGGTTGTGCGTAGACTACCGAGAGCTGAATAAGGTAACGGTAAAGAATAAGTATCCCACACTGCAGATCAATAGTTTGCTATACCAGCTTGTTGGAGCTACGATACTCTCCAATATCGATTTACATTAGGATACCACCAGCTGAGGATAGAGGTTGAGGACGTTCTAAAGACTTCTTTTAGGACCCGTTACAGACACTATGAGTTCTTAGTGATGCTATTGGTTAACAAATGCCCCTGCTACTTTCATCCATTATATGAACTAGATTTTTGCCTGTACTTGGGTTAGTTTGTCATAGTCTTTATTGACGATATCCTTGTGTACTCTGAATCTCGAGAGGAACATGAGCAGTAGTTAAGGACTATTTTGAGTACACTAAAAGAGAAACTGTAACATCCCAATTTTTTTTCCTAGTGTTTAGTTAAGTTTAGAAGGAGTTTAATGCTTGATAAATGAGTTTTATTCTCTATTTATTTAAGAAAAGAGAATTATTGAAAATAAGATTTATAAAATATGTATATGGAAATTTCTGAATAATAATAATAATAAAACGGATTAAACAAAAAAAAATGGGAAAAAAATGGGGTACCAAACTATAATTTTGTCCCATTTTAATATGGGGTCTTTAACTGGAATTTATGCCAAAATATTATTTTAACCGTTGGGGAGGCCAGAGAGAGAGAAACATTTCGACGTCTTTCTTTTTTCACCTTCTCCGGCGCCTTCTCTCATTTTTCCAGTAGGGTTTCAACTTTGCAGATCATTTTGGTAAGCCAAATGACTTCTTTTCATTAAACTCTCTTCATGAAAGTTTTTCCACTCATCTAAATCTATCTAATGATAGTAGTTTTATACTGTTTAGAGATAATTTTTGGGTTTAGGGTTTGAAGCAAGTGTTGAGTTTTGATGATAGGTAAGCATAATATTGTGAGCTATTTTAGTAGATCATTTCTATCAGTTTAGTTTTATTTATTGACTGACCTAATATTTTTAAATGAATTATTTTAGTTAAACAGATATTTATTTATGAAAAATATGATATTTATACCATGAAACTGTTGATTAAATTATTTACTTAGATGCATTTGATGTATAGTGATTTTCTAATGGTTGGTTTTTGAGATTTAAAGTTAAAATAGGATTTTTGAATTTTAAATATGATAATTTCAGATTTAAAATTTTGAGAAAAATCTGTATTAAAGTAAATACTTTGAAAGGTTTAAATGAAAATTTTGGATTGTGAGGATATATAAATTTTGTGCTAAAAGACTTAATTATAGGTTATGAGAGGTTTGGGTTTAGCATAGAATTAGAAACTTTAACTTATATATATATATGTTTTAGTTTAAGTAATTAATTAAATAGCTGTGTATTGATATGTAAATGTATTGGTTGTGTAGATTAAATTATTGGGCTATTGGTATGAGCACGGGGTTAACCTTGTGGTAATACTTGTTCTAGACAAGAGGTAACCACTTTCTACTTATTATTCATGCTCGTAGGTTGTTTGTGATTAATTTTGAATTACAAGGAATTTATGAAATATTATTGAATTATGATGTGAGCTATGAAAGTATGTTGTTATTGAAATTGTCTTGTGAGACTTTTGTTGCAAAAGATATATGTTTACTATTATGATGATCTCAAGTATTATGAGTTAATTGAAAAATGGAAAATCCCAATTGATTTTTACATGTGATGATTGTTTATGAATGCAATATTTTGAGTGTTGATATATGAGGGGTGGCGGATGTTGATGATGGGTACTATAACAAAGAGGATATAAGGGGGTGAATTATGTACATTTGAGGATATAAGGTGGTAGGGCCATCAGGTGTACACTGATTGGTCCTTTGGCCCAATTATTCATTATAGGGCATTGACACCCTACTAGTAGACTAGAGGGGGAACCCATGGTCCGGTCTTGTGCTCTGTGGATTTTGGCCGGTCCATATCACTTGATCGGTGAGCTTGTCTAATTACCAGTCACATGGATGAGGATTTAGCCCATGGGTTTAGTCAGAGGATATAAGGTGGGTGGATATAAGGGAGGTGAGAAGAATATTGATTGTACTTTTTATATGCTTTGACAATATGAAATTTGTTGGAATACTATGAATTTGCAATTGTCTCACTTGACACGTCACGAGCACTTACTTGTATGCTTGATAAGTAGGATTGTTGGTTACTGAGACTTTTGTCTCACCCCGTTGATTTAACACTTTTCCAGGTGATAGTTCCCGTTCGGGTCAGTCAGGGAAGGCTCCGGAAGCTTGAGCTGCTATTGCAAAATTGTAGCGCTTCCACTCTTTTGATTGTGTTGGATAGATGTATATTGCCATGATAGGGCCCATTCCACATACTCTGATATGTTTGAGATTGATTATTTTGACAGTGTACTTTTGAGAACTGTTACTGGACTGTATGCTGGTAGAAGGCCGGAGGCCTTTAGGCATTTGCATGTGATTTCTTTTGTTTGATATGAGTGGTGAATCCACAGTGATCTTTGACATGAAATGACTTTTGATTTGTTGAAAGTTATGAAAGGTACTATTTAGTAAAATCGTGTTATGGGCTTATGGTTGAAAATGATATTCTAGATTTATAATACCCAAAGCCCTATCCCATATATACCCATCGTGTTATGAATATTTTTTGCACGCAGTTAATTTAGAAAGTTCTTTTAACCATGATAGACATATTTATGGATTGGTTTAACTCTTTTTCTATCATGGTTAATCTCATATGATTTAGGATATTTATATAACCATGATAGTATTTCTAAATATTTTTACAAAGTTTCTTTTCTATCATGGTTAACTTTTTGATATTGATTACTTTATAAGTGTAGTAGTTTCGTTGTTACAAATTTGGTATCAGATTCTAAGATTCTGTGATCTGTCATGCATTGCATGTAGTGGCAATATACAATATTCACACACATCCTTCCCTATCTTATTTTCTTTGTTGTGTCTAAGTACTCACTTCCTATGGTGGGTTGGACCCTTAGGTGGGGAGGAGATGGTACGGACTCGATCACGGCAGACTGACCCTGGAGACAACCAACCTCCAAATCCACCTAACCAACCTCAACAAAACAATGAGGCTTTCTTGCAACGGATGACGGACTTACTGATGACAGCTATGGATGAGAGGTTGAAAAAGTTTGAGGAAGAGGTTCTGAAGAGACGGGAGGACGGGAAGCAGATTAATGAGAGCCCAAAAGAGAATGGACTTGAGGATCCAAGTGTGGGTAATTTAGAGAAGCGTGTCAACCTTACTGGAGGATCAAGGGAGGAGAGTTCAGCACAACGTGAGCAACGGCCCTATATTGATGAATCCATGAGGCAGGTCATGAAAGATGTGAGCAGACATAAACCACCCACATTCAATGGAAGCATGGATCCTTTGAAAGCTGAAGCTTGGATTGATAAGCTTGAGACGATTTTTAAGATTGTTCCTTGTACCACCTATGAGCAGGCACGAGTAGCCATTTTCTTATTAGAAGACCGTGCCAAGAGATGGTGGAAAAGTGCTGGTGGTCGTGATGATTTGGGCGTCACCTTTGAAGAGTTCAAGGAAAAATTTTTGGATCACTACTTTCCTATGGCCTTGCAACAGGAAAAGGAGACTGAGTTCTTTGCTCTTCGTCAGGACAATAAGCATGAGGATGATTTTATTGCTGAGTTTATTGATTTGTCCAAATATGTCACTTATTTGAAAAGTGAGGATAACCCTAAATGGATGGCCTCACAGTTGATAGAAAAGGCCAGGCCAGAGTTGAGGCAACAGTTAGCCTTACTTCCTTTCGAGAGTTTTGAGGATACATGCAACAAGCTGAGAGTGGCTGCACGAAGGGCTAGGGATACTGAGGAGGCCAGACGTCGGGACAATCAAGGCAGGTTTTCCAATTTTATGAAGCCGATTGGTGGAATTGGAAAGAAATCTGGTTATGGTTCTGGAAGCTCTAGCAAGAACAAAGGGCAGAACCAGAGGCGTCCAGATCAGAGGGTTCCACAGCAGAGGTCTCAGGCATTGAAGAGCCATGTTGGAGGGAGTCAAAACTCCCACAGAGAGTCAGCTTTATCTATGCCCAGTGTTAGAGGGCCTTGTTCGAGATGTGGGAGGAGTCATTCAGGGACATGTATAGAGTGCTTCCGATGCCACAGGTTAGGGCACATAGCTCGCTTTTGCCCAGAAGGCCAGCAACCACCTCAGAGCGGTCGTTCTACGATTCCAGGTCGAGTCTATGCTATGACACAGGAGGAGGCTGGTGCGTCTCCTAATATGATTCGAGGTACAGTTTCACTCCAAGGACATATTATTCCTGTTTTATTTGATTCTGGTGCTACACATTCTTTCATATCTATTGGATGTGCTAAGAAGTTTGATTTTCATGTAATTGACTTACCTTATAATTTGAGAGTTTCTACACCTGCTGGGGCTACAGTCATGACTTCTCAAGCATGCTTAAACATTGCCCTTCAATTTAAGAATCGTGATTCTGTAATTGATTTGATTTGTTTGCCGCTTAAAGGCATTGATGTGATTATTGGCATGGATTGGTTATCAGCTAATGATGCCATCCTTGATTGTAAGAGGAAACTTGTGACTTTTTCTCTTCATGCTATGTCTGTTGAGGCTATTATGAGTCCTATGTTGTTATCGGCTACTCAAGTGAACAAGTGTATTCGAAGAGGTTGCCAGACATATGCAGTGTTCTTCTCTACTAATGTGGATAAGGAAGTTAGTGTTGATCAGATTGAAGTGGTAAAAGAGTTCCCAGAGGTATTTCCAGAGGAGGTATCCGGGTTACCCCCAGAGAGAGAGGTTGAATTCTCCATTGATCTAGTACCTGGCACAGCTCCCATTTCAAAGGCACCCTATCGGATGTCTCCTTCAGAGCTGGCTGAGTTAAAGAAGCAGATAGAAGAACTACTTGAGAAAGGATTCATTCGACCCAGTGTTTCACCATGGGGTTCACCGGTACTGTTTGTGAGAAAGAAGGATAGTAGCTTGCGTTTGTGTATTGACTACCGTCAGTTGAATAAAGTAACTATCAAGAATAAGTATCCATTACCACGGATAGATGATCTCTTAGATCAGCTTGTTGGATCGTCTGTCTTCTCTAAGATTGACTTGAGATCAGGGTACCATCAGCTTAGGGTCAGAGCAGAGGATATTCCAAAGACTGCTTTTCGCACAAGATATGGTCACTATGAGTACTTGGTCATGCCTTTTGGTTTAACAAATGCCCCTGCCGTCTTCATGGATTATATGAATCGAATCTTTCGGCCTTATCTAGATCAGTTTATAGTGGTTTTCATCGACGACATCCTTATCTACTCAAAAAATGAGGAGGATCATCGAGGGCATCTTCGTATTGCATTGCAAATACTAAAAGACCACCAGTTGTATGCCAAGTTGTCTAAGTGTGAGTTTTGGCTTAAAGAAGTAAAATTTCTTGGTCATGTGGTGTCTGCGGAAGGAGTAGCTGTTGATCCTAGTAAAGTGGATGCTGTACTGAAGTGGGAATCCCCGAAGTCTGTGACGGAGGTGAGGAGTTTTGTCGGTTTAGCTGGTTACTACCGAAGATTTATTGAAGGATTCTCTCAAATTGCTATGCCATTGACTAAGTTGACTAAGAAGGATCAACCGTTCATTTGGAGTGATAAGTGTGAGGCAGCCTTCCAAGAGTTGAAGGCGAGATTAACCACTGCTCCAGTGCTTACTATCCCAGACCCTAATCGTCCATACACGTTATATACAGATGCTTCACTTAAGGGCTTGGGTTGTGTCCTGATGCAGGGAGGCAAAGTGGTAGCTTATGCATCAAGGCAATTGAGGCCCCATGAGGAGAATTACCCCACTCATGACTTAGAATTAGCTGCCGTTGTGTTTGCACTAAAGATATGGAGGCATTACTTATATGGGTCTCAGTTTGAAGTTTTCAGTGATCATAAGAGTTTGAAGTACTTGGTAGACCAGAAGGAATTGAATAACAGACAACGTAGGTGGATGGAATTCCTTAAAGATTATGACTTCGAACTTAAGTATCACCCGGGTAAAGCTAATGTGGTAGCTGATGCCTTGAGTAGGAAGACAGTGCATGTGTTCCATATGAGCTTGAAGGAGCACTACTGTTTGGAGGGTTTAAGGGATCTCCAGGTGGTGCCTGAGACAACAGCTTCCCTACAGTCAATTTTGGGTGATTATGAATTCTTTAGAGATTTAAAGGCAGCACAAATGGAAGACGCTCGACTATTGAGTATTCGAGAGGCATTGGAAAGTGGAGATGTTCCTAACTATGATGTTGGAGAAGAAGGGATTCTGAGGTACAAAAAGAGAATTTGTGTCCCTAATGATGATGAAATTAAGAAGACAATTTTGGAAGAGGCTCATCGGAGTAACTATTCGATGCACCCAGGGATAACAAAGATGTACAATGACTTGAAGAGAAACTATTGGTGGCCAAAGATGAAGAGAGATGTGACAGAATTTGTAATGAAGTGTTTGACTTGTCAAAGGGTCAAGATAGAGCACCAAAGGCCCCCAGGACTACTTCAAAATTTAGATATTCCTCAATGGAAGTGGGATAGCATTTCCATGGATTTCATCACTAGTTTGCCAAGGACCCCAGCTGGTTACGATGCAATTTGGGTGATTGTTGACAGATTGACTAAGTCAGCGCACTTCTTACCTATCAGAGCCACTTACTCTTTAGAGCGACTGACACAATTGTACATTGATGAGATAGTTCGACTTCATGGAGTACCGGAGTCAATCATATCTGATCGAGATCCGCGGTTTACATCAAACTTTTGGAGGTCATTGCAAAAAGCCATGGGCACTAAGTTGAAGTACAGTACTGCTTACCACCCCCAAACAGATGGACAAACCGAGAGGACGATTCAAACTCTCGAGGACATGCTGAGAGCTTGTGCTATTGAGTTCAAGGGTAGTTGGGACAGTCATTTGTCGCTAGCAGAATTTGCCTACAACAATAGCTACCACGCTAGCATTCAGATGGCTCCTTATGAAGCCTTATATGGGAGAAAGTGCCGATCTCCACTCTGTTGGACAGAATTGAGTGAGAGAACTATCATTGGTCCTGACTTAGTAGACATCACTACCAGAAAGATTGATCTGATTAAACAAAGGTTATTGACAGCTCAAAGCCGTCAGAAGAGTTATGCAGATCGTCGTCGGAGACCTTTGGAATTCGATGTAGGTGATCATGTGTTTTTGAAAGTTTCTCCACTCACGGGTATTGGAAGATCTATCAAAGCCAAAAAGTTGACACCCAGGTTCATAGGCCCATATGAGATCTTGGAGAGAATTGGACCTGTTGCCTACCGTGTTGCCTTGCCGCCACATTTGTCCAACATTCACGATGTGTTTCATGTGTCACAATT